CACACGCACACGCACACACACATCACAAACACACGCGCACACACACACACACACACACACACACACACACACACACACATACACATACATACAAAGAGAGAGGGAGGGACAGAGAGGGAGAGAGAGAGAGAGAGAGCCACCACCTTCCCCACCCAGACCCCCCCGCTAAACAAATCACCCCCAACCACCCAACCTTTTTTTCCCTCCCAACCGCACCCATGACATCCCCCGCCCTCGCTCAACCCCATGACATGCGCGCTCTCTTTTTTTGACGAGCGGGCACGCCTTAAAGCGTTTTGAGCGTGTTTGAGTGCGGGGAGGTTTCTTTAAGCGCGCGCTTACGTGCGCTCATACGATTTCATAGGCAGGTGTTGGTCATTGTTCTCAATATTATCATTTTGTTCTCAGGGGACGTTGGACCTGCTTTCCAGCAGGTGTAGCTCCCCACCAATAAATTGGATCCCTCTGTAAGTTAGGGAGGAGTGCATGCTACTTGCTTTAGAAATAGTATTTCCAATCATAGTTCAAAGTCTCGTATCGATTTAATCCTTGTGGGAGAAGAAATACAAGGAGCTCTCCAATTAGCAGAAATTTTCCCAAAAAGTCATTTCCCAGGTCTGGACCATGCCATGTGTGTGGCAATTTTTTCCTTCAGAAAAAAACCTGATCAAGGGAAAGGGTATTATCACCTTAACACCTCTCATCTAAAAATGGATTGTTTCCTTGACTACCTTCGAGATGTTTGAAATTTTTGGAGGGAACAGAGAGAGCGTTTAAAGGATGACGTAAAATGGTTCAACAGCGGTCTTGCTTTTCTAGGTCGTAAACGCAATGAATACTTTAAATTATTGGCTAAATAGAGACATGCTAAAGAAAACTTCATCCATAACAGAATTCATGAATTACAAAATCAAGAGCTAAATATAGAGGACCAAGAATTGCTAGAACCATTAGTGCAAAAACTTCAATCCTTCGAAAATCAGTTGTTGACTCAAATGGAATATAGATGGCAAGGACTTAGAATTCATGGGAAACTTAAATGCCAGGATATAGGGGGTTCAATGGACGCGTGTTTTTTTGCAATGGACAGAGCTAAAACAGGAAGAACTATTATTAAAGCTCTTGAAAACCCGTCGGATTCCAATAAGAATTTGGTCACCTCGATTTCTGATTGTACTAAAATAGCCAGGAATTTTTTTAAGTCACTCTTCACTTCACAAAACAGTCATATGACTTACATCCCTATAGATCAGCATACGGTGGAAATAAAAAACTTCCTTCGATCGTTAGACAAATCATTATTCGATGAATAAAAGGAAATGATGGAGAAACCTCATTCTAAAGAAAATATCTGAAAAGTCCTACTACTAATGGAGGAGGATAAGTCCTCAGGTATTGATGGCCTTCCTAAAAAACTGTGGGAAGTTTTATGGGACTCTATATCAGAAAATCTGATGGATTATTACCACGCAATATGGAGCTAAGGAAAAATGAGAGAATTTGTGGGACAAGGAGTACTTACGCTTCTCTGCAAGAAAGTAGATAAGTCCAATATAAAGAATTATCGCCCAATTACCGTGCTAACAGTGGTTTACAAATTAATAGTTCAAGCACTAACAGATCAAATGTCTACTATTAACCCAGAAATTATACATTCATCTCAAACAAGATTCATAGCAGCATAAACATTCAAGACAACGTCCTATTGGTGGATGAACTACTTAAAATTTCTCAGCACTCCAAACACAATGCAGCCTTTATTTTTATTGATTTCAAAAAAACATATGATCATGTGGATTGTTTTTTTTTTACATGCGTCTGGACAAACTTAATTTTGGTCCTTGTTTTAGAAGATGGATAAAGATCTTACACAAGAATGCTACAACCAAGATCATGGTCAATAACAATGTGCCTCCCCCAATCCCCTTAGAAATATCAGTTAGACAATGGGATCCTCTTGCACCATTTATTTTCGTCATAATCATGGAAGCACTAGCAACAAATTTGAGACAACATAAACATATTCGTCGTATACAGGTTACTAGCCTTTCAGAGGAAGCAATTCCGGTTTGCTCTCTTTTTGCTGACGATTTATCCCTTATGGTTGATGCTTCCTATGAAAACATGACTAAAATTCAAAAGATGATGGATAAATTTTGTCTTCTTTCAGATATGAAGGTTAATTGGGGAAACAAAACAACGGGTTAGTGGATTCATCACCAGGGAGGGAGACCACCTGATCATCCCATGATAAAGTGGCTATCTTTGGACATTCCCATTATAGTGTTAGGGATCTCATTGTTAGTCGAAGGTCAACCAAAAACTCATAATGAATGGATCTCTCAACCTGCTCACCAAATTGGAGTTGTGGAAGAACAAACATACCTCGGTTTTTGGCAGATCTCTGACAATTAATAATGTAATCCTTGCATCCATTTGGTATAAGTCAGCGATCTGGTTTATGGATAAAGATTCCCTTAAGTCTCTCCTGCGTCAGTTAAGCGCATTCTTATGGATGGGTAATTATGAAATGAACAATGTTATAAGTAGGGTAGCATGACAGTCAGTAATTCAACCAAACGTGGGGGGTGGTTTGACTCAGGCCAAGGCCCTCTCTACTTAATGGATTCAACCTGCGTAGCACCCCGTTCGCGTTCGCCGGCGAACGCGGCTCCGAAAATC